ATTTTTAACAAAACGGATGCGATCAGAAGAGAGTTTTTTTTCCATTTAATATTAAAATATATTATAACAAAATATTATTTATAATTAATAAAAAAAAAAAATCAGATTACTTTATTATTTTTCAAAAAAAAAAAAAAAAACTTTTCTTATATAAATAATTTTTTTATATAAATAGTAATATATAATTTTATTGGTGTTTTAAATATTATTTATTTTATTTTTTTTTTATAAGTAAATTACAATAAACATATAATTTTATTTAATTTTAGATTTATTAATATCATATAAATAGTTTAATTAAACTAATTCTTATAATTTATTTTTTTTATTATAATATTAATTAATATTAAAAAGATAAATCTATATTGTGATTTATATTTAGTCTCCTTTATTTATAAAAATAACAAGAAAAAATCTTGTTTTATAAGTAAAAACCTTTTTAATGGTTTTTTTTTTAATTTTATGATTTTAATTTTTTCTTATAATAGATTATTAATTCAGATTATATCAATATTAAATAAAGTAATAATAATTAATAGTATAAAGTTAAGAATAAAGTAAAACAGATAAACAGTTCAATTTGTTTATTTGAGTATAACTTAAATTGTTATATAGATACTTAATTGATTATAATTCTTTTCATATTAAAGATCTTATAATTAATATGATATAATTATTTTTTGTTAATTTTTTGAAAGAAAAAAACTAATTATGTTTTTTGAGATAGTATTGGTAAGGAAGTTATATATAATAGTTAAAACATCCAAGAATAAGTTTCTGCTAAAAAAAATTTTATTATCTTTGAAAAAAGAAAAACATTTCCAGTATATTTTAAATTAATAAGATAATATAATATAATAAAAACCAAAATAATTATAATTTAGAAAGCAAAAAATTTTAATTTTTTATAAATATTAATTAATACAATTAATTAATACAGCCTTAAACTATTTATAAAAATATTCTTTATAATTCAAATAAGTCAAATAAGATTAATATTAATGATTTTATCAAATATCAATGATAATTCCAAAAAATAATGTGATCTACACCTTTTCCACGTGATTGGATCGGTCCGAATGCATATAAAGAACCAGAAAAAAATTCGGTGCGTCGATCAAATACGACAATTTTAATGCAGGTGAGTTAACTCCATTTTCCGAGACATCATTACGAAGAAATGAATTGGGAAATCTTTTCAATTTCCTGATTGCCGCATCTTTTTTTATGACGAAAAAAGAATTAGACAAATTTGCTTGGACGATTTCTGTTTTTATTACTTTAAAATAAAAAACTTACGACCGATCGAAAAATAAAAGTAAGCATTTTTTATCGCATTCATGGTTGACATCAAATGACATAGATTATAGTAAAAAAGTTCGAACAGATAGCATTAGATATCATGGGTATTGTTACAACAGTTACCGGTTGGGCAACCTTTGGCGTGGCTGTAAGAGTGCTTTCTAATAGCATTCAAGGGAGACCTTATTTTGCTAGTACGTACACCATCTTTTGATTAATGCATTAATTGTTTCATAATTTGTTCTTAGATAATTTGTAATCAATCATTATTCAGAACCAGCGACGCACGCACTCACGGCAGTATTCTTTACGGGAGTTGGAACTTATCTCTATTTTGCTAATGAACGTTTAGAGGAGTTGATCGAAAAAAGAAAAAAGATTTTATTGGCCAATAGAAAACATAGGAAAGAGTTGGAAGGTAATTAGTCTGAAGAGGGATTGCTCATTAATAAACAAAGATTTTTCACTGAGGAAGGATAATTTAATAAAGAAAGCTTTGAGAATCGGTCGAGATCACATGTTTATCCATCTCGAGGTTAAATGGTTCACGAGATATATTCTTTAATTTACCAATATAATAATCATTCTGCACATTATGCACCACCATTGAGACAACCTTTACTTTGATAACGTAAAAAAATTAAATGCAGTGCATAAAATAAGCGAGTATCATTCATCATTCAATCTGTACTGTTATATCATTTTTTCGTGCAAATAAGATTTGTACATTTCTCAAAAAAAAAAAAGGAATTCCAAAATCTCTCCTGTGTCACTTGTTCTTAATTGCCTTCTCGATCATCAACAGCATCTCCATCACTGTTTACGTTTAGCATTTTCTTCTTGAGAGAATTCCATCGACCAACTAATGCCTGTCTTGACCTCGATGGAAAGTGGGATTTCGCGAGCTTGGTCCATGGGATTTCTTTCAAATGAGACAGAACCAGATCAATTAATAGCTGATCATCTTCAGGTTTCCAAGGACCTGAATTGTTCGAGACTCCGTGTTTTGTGGTTGAAACCGAAGGATTAAGTTTGCTCGAGTCCTGTTCTTTGGATTGCATTTTTGTAGCTCGTGATTTTCTGGACATGGATGGTTTCTTAGTTTTGGAGGCATCGGCTTTTGGTTTCTCTGAACAGCGCTTACGTTTCTTCGGAGCTAACTTTACGGTCTTCACAGATTGAAAATTATTAAGATCGTGATCTATATATAAAACAATTTTTTTATATACCTCCTCTTCAATGATTTCATAATTTCCTTCGTTCTCGTCGGATGTTCCATTGACGGTATCTTGTCCATCACCATCAAGGCTCATGAAACTCTCCTGTGTGTCGATGGGTGCCACCTCTTCACTGCATTCATTTTCATCAATTTTCACCATATTTACTATCTTTTCCCTTGTTAACACGTGTCAATTGGTAGCATTAACAATGATCAGATGGAAAGAAGACTCGAAGATGAAAATACTTCAATTGTGAAGAAAAAGAATTATTGAAAAAAAAAAACGGATATCGCACCTTACCTTTTCCTTTCTCCTTAGGCCTGAGTTTTAATTTAGTTGACTTTGATAGTTTGCTAAGTAAGTAATGATGGCACGATGAACTACTTTATTAACTATGATCTAATGAAATTTAAGCACCGCGTTTTTTTGGTATATTTCTTTGTCATGATCCTAAGTATCTGAAATTTCTCATTAATGCGGTAAGCTTGTGTTTTTTCATTTTCGCCTGAATTCAACGACTATGATATATTAGCAATATCACGTATGTAATTAATAAAAGTTATCTTTGTTTTACTCATAATTTCTTTAATAAAAGAACATTATTTTCATGTTATCAATCTAAAAATAAAAATCTTAATTAATTAATTGCGTTGTGATAATAAATTTTTAGAAAATAATAGTGCGTTTTTATTCTCAATGAGAGATTCTAATGGCTTAAATTTTATTTCCTGATTCAGCTTCAATTTGAAATTTTATTATACATTTTTCATCTTTGTGCGAAATGAAATAATATAGTAAAAAAAAAAAAAAAAAAATTATATTGAATATTTCATTCTTTATATTTGTATCTACACCAATATAAAAGATTTTTATTAAATAAGAAAAATATTGTATTATGAATTCTTTAAGTTTATTATAATCATGCTATTTCTTAAACTGAAAAGATTTTCTTTCCAGCGTCATATGGCGATTCGAACTTCCGTTCTTTCTTGAATCCACTTCTTGGATTTACGATTGGCGTATTACGGTCTCTCGACATTCTCGAATCTGAGCCCCGTGAAGACCACTCCCTATCCCTATCCCTTCCGTCTCTGAATTCATCTCTTGAATGCCGTGAAGACGATTCATGGCGATTATTCAGACGAGATGAATAATCATTATTTTTGAATGATTGAAACTGTGATTTCTGATCTCTTCGCTCTTCATTTTCATTTCTTCCAGGTGACTCATGTTGAAATTGATCATCACGAGAAAGTCTCGGTCTTTGATATAATTCTCTACCACGATAATTTTCATCATCATCAAAGTCTCCGCGCCTACCTGACAGCTTACGCGCTTCTCGATCCCTTGGTCTATAATCATCATCTACAATAATAGTTTCGTCGTCTTCTAACCAATTGGTTTTCTTTGATTCGGCTGGTTTCCGTGGTCGTAATCTCTCCTCTCCGTACCTATTATCTATATTTTCAGATCCCTTTGGTTTGGATATTTCCCTTTCATTTTGATCCAGCCTACTTCCCAGTTCCTTCTTATGTAGCCTCTCCCTTTCCTTTTGCATTCTAGAACGTTCTATTTGTGCTTGCTTTTGATTCAAATCCCAGAGTCTATTCTTATAAAACTTTAAATTATTTTTCCAACGTTCTTCTGTGTGGTCAGGTAGTTTTCCACCTGATTTATCCAAGGCCACCCCGTAAGCGTTTATGATTGTTCGCAGAAAAACGGCATCATCAATTTTGAACGGAAGTTTCGAAATACCATGCATCGTGGCAGTCTTCACGAGCGATAATGGATCCTTAAGTCCAATCTGGTCAATTTTGTTTAGTATCCAACGTACTTCTCTCGTCAAAACACTTGGATCCGACTCCATGGTAATCTCGAGGATCTTTGTAAGTGCAGTCGTTTTAGGAATAACTCGGTGTTTAATTATAATACCAAAGATTTCCTTCACCGCGTCCAAGTTTTTTGCATTTTTACAAGATACCATGAGCAAATCAAATGTCATGTCTATAGGTTGGAGTCCTAAATCAAGAATTTGTTTAAAGATACCGATCGCTTCGTCACATTTCCCGGATTCATTGTAAAGTGATATTAAACTGTTGAAATTTTGTATGTCTGGTTGAAGATTCGGAAATCTCATCTTAGCTTCATTGAATAGGTTGATTCCTAGTTTCGGTTGTTGTGATTTGAAACACAAGCCCAACATAATGTCCAGTGATTTAGATGTCATTTGTATATCGTAGGGACGAGTTCTGATGGTGTCATCGCCAATTCCATAAATGTCCTTGATAACCTCAAATCCTTTTTCGACCTCTCCCGAGTTTCTGAAAGTGAGAAGAACGTTACACACTAGGTCATCATCAATCACATCTTCCTGTTCCGCAGCTCTCCTTGCGGGCTTTCTTACCGAAACCATCGCTTTCTCATAGAGAGACTCCCATATGCTTACTGCCAGTTCATAAGCTTTGTCCGAATATCTCTTACAATTTTTCGCGCAGGCCGACAGGACTATTGTGTGTGTTTCCCTGTTTGGAGCCAGCGCAGTACCTCCTTGATAGAAAAGTGCATCGTAGTTATCTAGCAATGCTTGAAATTCATTTGTGCGAAAACAAACTTTTAAAAGAGCATTCGCATGTCCCACTGTCAGCTTGAAAGTTGATTTTGTTCGACTTGCCCTCCTTATACTATCGATTATTGCTCTTGCGTGTAATATGTTATCGGGCAGTGCACGGTATTCTGCCAATCCGTTGAGTAGCAGTGTGTATGTGTTTTGACTGGGTTGCAAAGAAAATCTTTTCATCTATTAAATTAAGAAACGTGATCGATGATATTTGACTTGATTATCAGGAAAAATGACTTCTTTTTGATAAATCAACTACACCTTACCTCATTTAAAAGCCTGATTCCCAATTTCACTCTACCTTTATCAACACACTCAACGATCAACTGGTTCCAACTGACTTCGGATTGATCATTGATCCTTGATTCTAAAACCAATTGAACAGCTTCTTCCAGTTTATCTTGTTGAGAAAGTGTTATAACCTTTTCTCGTAACGATTTTTTTTCATTCAACACCTCTTCTTCTTGCGCTTCTTCCTTTATATTAAGGATATCGGGTATCTCCTTCTTGATGTCAATGCCTTTTTGCAAGAAGAATTTTGGCCTCGAGGGTAATGAAGGTGATACATGTGGTGGTGGAGAAGATGGTACGCTTAATGAACGAAGTGATATTAGTTTGATCGGACTTGATAGGGCGTTTGGAAATAAAGAAACTGAACGATTTGAGCAATTTAATGTGGATGAGGGCTTAAATCGGATTATAGGATATTTAGTTAAAGAGAACAATTTGGAATTCGACGCTTTCAACATTTTTCTTCAAATCACACTCTTGATTATCATTTTATATCGGAGACAGAGTATCAAACTTCACATGACGTTTTTCCTAATATGGCAATACGTTAATCAGTAAAAACGTTGTTCACCTTGCCTCGTACAAAAAAATGTTGTCGCATCTAAAAATTTTTTATCCCAGATTTCTAATTCCGCAAAAGAGAATTCCTTCACGTACTACTACTATCAGTTCACTTTTCTACCATGGCCCATATCAAAGTACTTTTAAACGGCAATTTGTTAGTCCTCACATAAAATTACTTAAATTCCGAAATGTACGATTGCATGAAAAAAATAAGCATTCGATATTTTCTCTCATGCTTCACCAATATCCATTTCTCCAATTTCGTCGACAGATGCGCTTAAATCCTCCAATCTTACGTAAAGACTCTGCCTTTGATATAACATTAAGAAATGCGAAGAGCTCGATTTACGTTTTTTTAAAATATTTTCTTATTGGTTTGGTCGTTATCACTTGTTCTTTTTACATTGCCTATCGCGGATTTCACTTTTACATTGAACATTATTTACATCCGACCCCGAAAGTTTTATCTACAAAAGCACGTGACTGTCTTCGAGGTGCTTACTTTCGCGAAGAGATGGTGCCGGACTCTTCGCGTGCTGAGGTGTTCTTAATGAGAGCGATGGAGTTTGCATTTGAACAAGGTTTGGGTGTTGACGATCCCGTTATCATAGATATCTGGCTACGTTTGGCTTACAACCATATTTGGTCTGGAAAATTGGATGAGGCTATCTCTGTTTATCGATCGGTATTAGAAAAATTGATGAAGTCGGGAAAGGAGGAAAACTTGAAGAGATCAATTAACGTCGCCAAGAAGATCGGCGATTTATATATCAGGATGCAGGAATTGGATATCGCGGAAAAGTACCTGAATTGGGCAATTGAGATGTTGCAAGGTGACCGTGATCAATTGATCAAGAGGTCTCCCAATTTCGTGGATGAACATCCTGCCAGATCTTTGACAATTACAAATAAGATTTTTGAAGGTTCAGGATCCATCAACAAAGAATTAGTGGGTTGCGTTGATTCACTTGCTGGATTGTACGCGCAACAAAAAAAACATGACCTTGCACTATTACTATACCTGGGAATGCTTAAGATGATACAATCGAGACCGAAAGAATCACAGGAAGGAACTCATTGGAATTGTTGGGAAGCAATTATCATGGGACATTTAGGTGAGGTGTTTTACGGTCTCGGAAAGCGAGAGGAAGCGTTGGGTTGGATGCAACAAGGTTTAAACATGGCAAGAGATGGAAGTGGCATCAGGGATTGCGATGAGTGCGCTGGCATGATCCTTTACAATCTAGGAATAATTTACGAAAAAGATGGAAAAACAAAAGTCGCGATTTCTTTGTTGGATCAAGCGATCGAATTTGCTGAAAAGGCTCAGGATCTGAAGGGAATTGACGATTACACGACCAAACTAATACGCCTGACAAGCCAACAATCAGACGAAATAAATGAAGAAATTTAGGGAACTTGTATAGACTTGTTATTCAACCATTTGGAAATAAAATGATTGTTTATAGTACATGAAAAATAAAGAACGATGTGCGTATATATGACATAAACAAACATTAAAAAATTAATTACAAATATATAATATAATTATTATTTTTTTAAAAAAAAAATTGACATACACTATACGCGAATGATTGAAACGAGTAATACAGTATGTAGATGAAAAATAAATTGTTAAAATAAAATATTAACAAAACAGTAAATGTAGTGTTATCAAATTTTCACAAGTGATAATTATTTTTTATATCAGAATAGTTTATTATATTTTAACGTATAAATGTTCATCAGTTGTTATCTTATCTGAAGAAAATATTCGGATGAAAAATAGAAATGCGCAAGAAATGGTTTATTTAATTCATATGTTGAGATGAAAATCATTCGGGAAAGTTCGTATTAGGATGAATTAGGTGCTGTAGATCCCGAAAATTATCTTTTTTTTTTTTTTTCTCACTTTAAAATGTCTTTGAAATCCTACCAACATGATTTCATCAAATTCGCCATCTCGAATGATATCTTGAGCTTTGGTAGTTTCACTCTGAAGTCTGGTCGGATCAGCCCATATTTTTTCAATGCTGGAAAATTCAACAGAGGTACTTCGTTAGCAGCTATCGGTAAATTTTATGCTGAGGTCTTACAAGATGCCGGCTTAGAATTTGACGTGGTTTTCGGTCCAGCTTATAAAGGCATCCCGCTTTCATCTTCAACTGTGATTGCATTGGCCAAAGAATACAATAAAGATGTCCCATATTCTTTCAATAGAAAAGAGGTAAAAGATCATGGCGAGGGTGGAAACATTGTTGGAGCTCCACTAGATGGAAGAATTATCATTGTGGATGATGTGATCACTGCCGGGACAGCTATCAGGGAAAGTATACTAATAATCAAGGATCATGGTGCGATTCCTGCAGGCGTCATAGTGGCCGTAAATAGGCAAGAGAAGGGTACCAACGAGATCTCAGCAGTGCAACAAATCGAAAAGGATTATGGAATTCCAGTGTTGTCAATTGTCACTTTAGATCAAATTATTCAATATCTTAGGGAACATGGAGGTTACGGCGAACATTTGAAAAAAATGGAGGAGTATCGAACTACTTATGGAATTAACAATTAATCTTTCGGTATTACCAATTCGCAAGCAACACCGAACAAGACCGACATCCTATTATTTTTTTCAAAATTATTTCAAGTTAAGAGATAAAGCCCCAATTCTTTTCTCATTTCATCAATGTTCCTATTCCAACATTCTTCATAATAAACATTCATCAACAATTTACTCTGCGAACCACATTGAATGGCCCATGGAACATATTTGCAAAACAGTCTGGTTCTTTCCTTTGATGGTAATAATAAAGGTCCGAACATAGAACTTAAAAAAGTCATTGGCAATCCGGTTTGAACAAGCTCAAACCATTTTAAAGCCAATTCTCCTTCGATGTTTGTTGGTAGATTAGTTAGTGTATGGAAGAAGTCGTGACTTTCTCGATATCTTTGCATCACGTAGGCTAACTCTTCGTCATAGATAAATTGAACCTAATTATTAGTAGTTTTGATAATCATGTTTAGTTGTTTATGGTATTATAGGTATCCCCAGATATGTGAATTTTAGTGAGCAAATTCTTGACACCTTAACTCGGGAATCTGGTGTAACTTTTTCCATGTCTAAAAATTTGGTATATTCCTTCCCAAATGCTCCTTCAGGAAGTGATCTCAAATAGGTTATATCAATAGTTTTCGAATTAACGACTGGTCGTTCCTTTAATATACGACGACCAACGGGATCTCGTAACATGTCATCCCGGAGCCTACTAAGGAATATAGAACCAGTCGTTTCTCCCAACGTCGCGATCATGTCTTAATAATAAAGCGATTATCGACGTTTTTTAAAAATTGTTAAGTAGATGCATTAATGCTATGCGGTGCATATTCCGAATTGTTACCTTGTCTACTGGGATCGAAAAATGCACCGAAAGCAGATGAAACAGCGAGAAGATTTTTCTGTAGTTTCGTAATTGGTGCATTGGTTGACATACAGCGACGGAGGAAGTGGCTTCCCGCAGCTGCACGAAGAGGGTATATTGGTGAACAGATCATCGCACAAAGATTTCTAGAATCTGAACTTTATATTAAACACACGTAGCATTATCATGTGATGACGTATGTTATGCCGATCTCGGGAAATTATTTAACCGATCTTCACGTAATATAAACAAGCAACGACGCGTCGACACTCTTCAACGATTGCTCCCTTCACACATTATTTTAGACTTTGTCCTTCTTACACCTATTTTTTTACATATTTAACCTAACTTTTCTTCACACATCATGTCTATTGTTGCGAGAATGGAAGAGCAGAGACAACCAAAAACGCCAATAAAAGTTCAAGGCACTACAATGAATAACAAACGACTGGCGTACGATGAGCTAGAAACTCCTTTGCGTGAGTTAACACAAGCGAATTTCATTCTAACCGCCTCAGCACCGAAAGTGGCAGCCTCCGAGTCTCCGTTGTTTATCAAACGACTTCGAATAGATTCTGAGCCGATCCTCGATGACGAAGAGGGATTCGAACTTGTACTTCCAGAAGATACTTTAATCGACTCACCGTGCGCACATCGTTTCAGTCTACGAGGCGGAAAACCTTCATCTCTCGATTATTTTACACCTGTGAAATCGTTCAACAGAATTTCATCAATATCAGATCTATTCAATAGGAATAGTGAGTCCTTTGGGGATGACTCTTCTGATCGATCATTACCGACATCATTGAGGAAATGCAATTCTCTTAACCTTCATGCTCCAGATGCCAATCAATTCTCAGGGTTATCGCGAGAAAACACACCGTGCACACGTCGCCAATCTAATATTTTTTACATTGATTCATCAAACCTTTCGCCTACGCATGATCTACAGTCGTCACAAGAATTTTTGGACGATTCTTCAATCGAATCTCCATGCATGAAACGAAATTCTCCAAACGACTTGTACGTTTCAGGTGGAAAATTACCCAGACTAACTCCTAGTGCGCCTCCACAGCCTGACTTTTTCGATGCAGATTCCACAAATATTTTTCTCTCGTCCGGTTACAACGACGTGCAATCATCGTCAGTACCTATGAAAGGGTCCTTGACAGAATTTCCACGCCCGAATCAGTCAGTTGCGTATAAAGAAAACATTGGCTCACGCGCCGTTCATTCATCAAAAGGTCAAAATACTGTCAATGTAACTCCCACCGAAAAAACTCCAAATAGAACCCGAGATAAGAACACTAGTTCACCAGAAATATGCAACTCAACATGGATTTCAAGAAGGCGAACAGATTATGTGTCCACTCCTGTAATGTTAAGGAAGATGGCAAATATAATGCAACCCTCCCCAGCGATGGTCAATGAATATACTACAAAGTACGCACATATGCTCGATGAATCGTACTTTAAGGATGTTGGCCGGAATAGTCGAATTTTTTGTCCTCCAAAAGCGTCTGGTTCTCAGTATAAGGATTATTTTACCGATAATTTTATTGTTGATTCCGTTCTAGGAATTGGCGAGTTCTCAACCGCGTATAAGGTGAACGATCGGAAAACGGGAGCTTTGTACGCTGTTAAAAAGGCAAAAACTCCCTTTAAGTCCCATACGGCCAGAGCAGAGCGCTTGGAAGAGGTCGAAATTATGTGGAAGCTAGGGAAACATCCTAATTGTCTTCAACTATTTTCTGCCTGGGAACAGCGTGGACACCTTTATCTACAAACGGAATTATGCGAAAACAGATCGCTTGAGTACTTTCTGAAATACAATTCTAAATTGGAGGAACCCAAAATTTGGCGGATCTTTGCAGACATCGCCTTTGGTCTCGAACACATTCACAAGTGCGACATTATGCATTTAGACTTAAAACCTGGAAATATTTTCCAAACTCTGGACGGAATATTCAAGATCGGTGATTTTGGCCTCTCGGCAAGCTGGCCGGCTAAACCTGATCTTGATAGACAAGGCGACTGCCGATACATTTCATTAGAGGCACTAAATTGTCATTACGACAAATCAGCGGACATTTACAGCCTCGGCACAATCGTGCTGGAAATGACCGGGATCATTTCTCTAAGCAAAAAGACTGCAGATAAAATCAGATTAGGTGACTTATCGGAACTCGAATTCGAGCGTATATCAGGCGAAATGTCTACATTATTAAAAGCTATGTTGCATGTCAACCATAAAGAAAGGCCCAAAATTCAGAAAATTGTTAAAATTCCTAAAATCCGTAGTCACAGGGGTGTACAAACGTTCTTTTCACATCAGAAGTTATTAATCTAGTAGCGGTAAAATATCAAGAGTGGTCAAATAAATTGGTAATATAAGCGCTGTAATAAAAATATGCATTAAGCTTGGTTTACCTACATTGTTACACATCAAATTCGTTATTTGCAGTATTAAATCTACGTTATATATGATCAAAATTTTATGTTCTGGTTTATATAAAGTTATAATGGTAGAACATGTAATACTGTATATGTACATTAATATACTGTATATATATATTGTAAATAAATAAAATAGGCAATTGCCCTCGGTGTTTTATACTGTATATTTCAAATTCTTAATTTACATTTTATTAATAATTAAAATATATAAGCTGTTTCAAAATAATTAAATTTTTAAATACGATATATAGTTTTATTTTAAAAATTCAAAAATACTGGAATTATATTCTTAATCTTATTACATTAATTTTTTTTTATGCAAATAAGCATAAAATACACGATTTTATTTAGATAAAAAACCATTTATACCAATTTTTACATCAATTATTTCACTTTACTTTTGCGAAATGAATATTAATATTTTGACAGGCTAATACACTTTTAATTATATAAGAAAACCAGTTTTTGTAATACTAGTTATTATTTGATTATTATTTTAAAAAAGTAATTAAAGTTTTTTTTTTTTTTTTTAAAGTAGGTAAACATCATTTCTTTATTTTATTTGTATATGACAAGGTATACATCGTGAAAGAAACAACATCTCTCATATGTTGGTACAATGAAAAAAGTAATTAAAGTTAATTAAATAATATATATAAAGTATATACAATATATTTGAGTAGAAAAATATAATTTTTTTTTTATTTATAATAATATATATATATAAAAACAAATATCTTTTAATTATACTTTATATACAAATTTAATACTAGTTTATCTATTATATTTTTTTAACTAATATCAAAAATAAAATATTAAAATAATATGTTGTATTAGAAAATATTAAAACAGTCTTATTTTTTCATTTAAAATAATATGTAAAGTAAAAAAAAACATGAAAATAGTTATTATAATATATAAAAATAGAATATAATTTTTTAACATTGAATTATATAATTATAATTTGATATATAATAATATAATTTAACGTTATTATTTTTAAAAAATTTTATAAAATAGTTGAATATATAGTAATTATTGATTTTGATATTATTATTTATATAACAAAATTATAAGAATATAATTAATTATTACATAAAAATAAATTATAATCTTTTTAATATTAAATTTTTATTAATTTAATATAAATAAAAATATTAAATTATAATATATATTAATATAAAAATTTACAAAAAATATAAATATAATATAATATTAAAAAAAAGTAAATATTAAAAAAAATAAAATAAAATTAGAACCAATCCAGAATAACTAAAATGCATACAAGCCGAGAAGATCACACATATAGAAGAATTAGATACAGATTACTAAATGGCAAACTCCCTATATTGGATAGGCTAGCAAAAAGAAGACCAGATATCTACAAATTAAACAAATATCCAGGATACAAGGAAAGAGAAAGCCTAAAGCACTTAATGCACAAATACTGACAATATAAGATAACAAATGAATACAAAAAGATAATAAAAGAAGAAACCAAAGGGTGTCAAAAAAATTGCAACAAAGGGAAAGAGAAAAAAGACTCAAAACTAAAAATACTATTAATTACAAACTTGAAGTGCACAAGAAACTATATAATAAGGGGAATTCTGACTAAAGAGATAACCTAATTGAGATCACTTCCTGAAGGAGCATTTGGGAAGGAATATACCAAATTTTTAGACATGGAAAAAGTTACACCAGATTC